CCTGTCGGAACAGCCAGGTTTTAAGGGCTGTGCGGAAGGTCTGGAGGGTGGTGAGGGTACGAATCTCCACGGGGAGTTCATTCCAGAGGGTCGGAGCAGCCACAGAGAAGGCCCTCCTCCGGGTATCCTTTTGCAGTATCCTTCCCCTGGAGTGGAGTGGGAATAGGGATTTTGCAGTATCCTTCCCCTGCCATGCCCACCAAGCCACGCCCACAGAACCAGTAGTATACCACTGGTATAAAAATCAATCTCTCCCTCCCTCCCTCCCTCCCTCCCTCCCTCCCTCTCTCTCTCTCATCATGTGGTCCTCAACTCCTGTGGTCCTGTCCACCATTAAAACCATCTTTCCAAACAGCCGCCATGTTTCCAGTATCTTTTTCCCCATTTGGAACTGAACCCAGATGGATGTTATTTCCAACACCCTTTTGCGACCTTCTGACAAACCAAGCCTTCCCTGGGGATACAAGGTGGAAGAATGCAGATTCTGACGGAAGTGCTGGGGAGTAGGAATCGTATGGGTCCGTGATGGCAAACAGGTGGCACCCGGAGCCCTATCTGCGGGCACACCAGCCGTTGTCTCAGCTCCATTCCATCGTGTGTGCGCACGCACCTCCCGTCAGCCAGCTGGTTTTAGGGTCTCTGCCCTGCATGCATTGGGGAGGGGGGCGGCGGAGCATGTGCGGGAGACTTCCTCTTCCATTCCTGCAGGTAAAGAGCCCGCTTTTCGGATCATTGAATGCCATTTTGCATGGTCAGCTGCATCTCTGGGGCACAAGCCTGCAGCTTGCATATCTTTGTTGATGGTGTCTTGCCATCTCTGTTTTGGATGCCCGCGAGGTCGCCAGCCACTGACTTCTACTTGGTAGGCAGTTTTGGCCACAGTGGAAGGTACTGCTCTCTGGACATCTCCATACCACCAGAGTCATCCTTCTCTCATCTTACAGCATCCCCAGGGTCACGTGTTCAAGATTCAGAGGCTTGGCAACTGACTCGATACTACTTGCCATGTCGTGCGATCCCCTTTTGCGACCTCCTGAACAAGCAAAGCCGATGGAGAAACCAGATTCACTTAACAGCCGTGGTACGAACTTAAGAACTGCGGTGATTCCCTTAAGAAATGTGGCGAGAAAAAGTCGTAAAATGGGGCAAAACCGACGTAACCGATCTCACACTTAGCGACAGAAATCTTGGGCTCAATTGTGGTCGTACGTTGAGGACTTCCTGTACACCTGTTTTCCTATCTTATCAAGAGTTTTTTTTTCCTAACTGTTCAACATCAGTTGGCTGCATTGGCAGATTTTATAAGCGTCTCCCACTCTCAAACACACACACACACACACACACACACACACACACACACACACACACACACACACACTCACAAGTCTCAATCTGAGCATTTTAGCTGCATATTTCTGGCACCCATGTGGATAAAGAGCCCACACCAATTTCTGCTCCCTTTGCATACTAAAAAACCTGAAATAATCATGGCAATTAGAGATAATTACAGTTATTTTGAAGTAGAAATTCAGGCTGGAATTCAACTAGGCATCAAGGAGAGGGAAGGAGAAGGGGGAAGAGCGGGGGGGGGAAGGAAGGCAGGAGGAGGGGGATTAAATTTGGCGAGGGGGGATGGCTGTGTTTCTCATGCAAAAACTGCTCCCTGCTTCCCTTGGCTGTGTACAAATTGTGCATAAATCACGCCATGCAAGACAATTGCTTTGGAAACTAATTTCTTCAGCCTGGCAGGAAAGTTTCTTCTGCAAAAGCCTTACGCAGCTCGGAAAATGTTTTGGAGCCACACAAAATGCTTCCCACCACCGCTGTTCACAGGTGCCTCCCTTTGCATTGATGTTCAGGCACTGATGATTGCATAGAAACAAGAGTTGGGCGAAGAAACATGCCAGACGCTTGTTACTCACCACAGCAACTGGCATGTGTACACATATGTGTGCGCACATTAGGGCCCTCAAGACCTACCCAGCTGGGAGACAAGGAGGACACAGATACAGCTATCTTTTTTTTTAATAAAGATTTTTATTAACAAACATGTAAAACACACACACACAAAAGTTAGACGTACACTACATTTATACAATACAGTATGAACAGGAACTTCCTGTTTTTTTATAATAGGAATCATCAATCGATACCGCTCACCTTATATTATTTCCCCTTCTATTGTATTTCGTTTGGATTTCACCATTCTTAACCCTCTTATTTTACTCATAACTATTATTTTTGAGTTTTGTTATATTC